CCCTAAACCCTAAACCTCAAACCGGTGTCAGGTAGGATACGGCACTCTCCACCCTGAGCCGTGACACCGCAAGTGACCCGGAGGATTCGCCATCCTAAAAAACCCCAGCAGCCCCCCCCTGATTGATGGAGTCTTGGGATCTCGGGAGTCTGGAGTTTGCAGCCGTAAACTTTCGTTGAAAATGTAGGGTTCCAGACGCTTCGGGCTTGAGCGGCTCCGTAGTATCTGCGACTTAGGATTCCGTGTTTAGCCCTCTAAACCCTAAACCCTAAACCATCGTGGGTTCGGGGCTTATCCTTCAGGAAGCACCACGAGGCTCAGCTCGGAAGCCTAAGCCCCTCACACGATGCGCACTGCTGGCCGCAGGTCTCAGCCCGAAGCTGAGTATGGCATAAGGAAAGTCTTCGCGGTTAGCGCGAGAAGACAGAGAAAATGTGCAGATGATACATACATACATACATACATACATACATACATACATACATACATCCATCCATGCATGCTTGCATGCATGCATGCATCATTGGTGCGATTCTTTCTTGCGACTGCTGGGGTGGGTGCGGGCGCAGTGGTGGTGGATGTGACGGTGGTAGCTGTACTGGTGGCAATGCAGACTCCGGTTGGGCATTCCAGGGACTGTCTGGGATGGGCACTCGGAGGTGCAGACCGGGCCAGGTGGAGACCGCAGAATAGCTGAGTTTATCATCGAACAACACCGAACCACCAAACCAGGGAAGGAACTACAAGAAAAACAATAGCGATGACGTCGTCAACCTGTCGACGACGTAATCCCAACAAGAGCTATCTACGGCATTCGCTCCGGCAACCACACCAAAAGAAGATTCCGCAGCTCGGGAAGCTAGTCCAATTTATAGCTGGGCAGCTGAAGGATTGCGGCGTCTGTCGTGGGCCCATGGTGAACCCGCCGTTGGTGTTGTGCTTGCGATACCTTGAAGGATGCCACAAGTAAAGGCTCACCACGAAGCTCAATCATCTGCTTACCCACAGCGTCTCGAAGAAACACATGTCTCCCCAGGTCATCAAACTTCCGGTTCAGGCTTTGGGTTTAGTCATTTGGTTAGTCAAAGAATTGCATGCTTCACTCGCCTGGCCATAAGCCTGGAGGCTTTGCAATGCCTCATCACTCAGCTGATTTTGTGTGTGAAACAGGTTTAAGGAAACTTCTGGGATAAAGAGCAAGGGACAGGGATGCACAACCACGGCCACGGCCTCGGAAAGGCCAAACCCTAAACCCCGGCCCCTGAACCCCACGGACCCTAGGATAACCCTGTTCATAACTGAGTCGTTTAGGGGTGGTTGAGGGTTTAGGGTTTAGGGCATCTCATCTAGAGCCTGGATGACCCGAGTACGAATTTGGGGTATATTCTGGTACAACTACAGGACCCAGAGGGTCCAAGTACCCAAATAGTAGGGTTTTAGGTCCAAAATTCCATATTCTGAATGGTTTTTGGTACCTGAAACCCTACTATTTGAATACTTGGACCCTTGGGGGGGATTGACTGCAATCGATTACGCACCTTAATCATTCCACGTGGCATGTGCTGCCATGAAGGTGTAGGGCTGAGCCACGGAGACTTCACAAGAACCAGGTAAGTAGTAGTTTAGTAGTGTGTATATATATATATACACACACACATTAAACCATATTAAGGACGCCTCGTAAATTTGAGGCATTTCCTTGAGTTGTGTCATTTCCCAAATTTCAAGCAGCATCTAGATCCACCAAACCCTAAACCCTAACCCCCGAAACCCTAAATCCTAAACCCGACCCCCCAAACTCTCTCTAAGGACTCCCCAGACCCCCAAACATCCCTGCATTATGGAATATGCCTGAGTTTCTATTAGGTATCCCGACTATATAATGGCTTAAAGTATACTCCTTGATTAAGGGGTATACTCCTTGATTAAGGGATGTTGGAAGGTCTGGGACGTGCAGAGAAGGCCATATTTCGAACTATTCCCCACCGTTTCAAAGGCTCCTTATTGTGGTATCGGTGTCTAAAGTAGAAGCCTAAAAGTTGGAACATCATGGTCCTGGCGCTCTTAAAGTAAAAGGGGCTTTAGCGAATCCTCCTTAATCCATGTTCCAACGTTCTGGCTTCACTGCCAAGCCCCTAAACCTCTGAACCCCCCTAAATCTTACACCCCAAACCCCTGAAGCCAAGCCCTACTCTGGAGCCGGAGGCACCTTATGGTATCTGTCTCTACTGTACTTCAAGGCAAGTGTTTTCGGGCCAAAGGCCTAGGTGCTCGCCGAGCATAAAGGCCTCGGCGGAGTAGGTGCTCTTCTCTGGAAGCTCCACCACCTTCAGGGCTTTGGGTTTAGGGATGAGGAGTTGGGCTTAGGGTTTAGGGTTTGGGTTTAGGGTTTGGGTTTAGGATGGTTCAGGGTTTCTAGGGTTTGGAGTTTGGGGTTTAGGGTTTGGGATTAGAGTGTAGGTTTTTGGATTTAGGATGGTTTAGGGCCTCTGGGGTTTAGGGTTTGGGGTTGGGGCTTAGGAGCTTTAGAGTTCTCGGGGTTAGAGACAGGCTTCAGATTGAAAGACCTCCCACAACGAAACAGTCGTTCATCGGCGGGCTTGATGAGGGTTTAGGGGGTTTATAACAGCTTTTTTTTTGCAGGCCTTACGAAGCCTTTGTGTAACTTAGCATAAGGCTCTGTCAAATTACAAAGTCTATATCGCACATATTCTATTGGGGGTTTCAGGGCTTAAAGAGACCGCACCTGTACCTTGATCAAGGAATTCTTCCGTGAGTCGTGAACCACAAAAGTCTTCTTAACATATGCAGCTAAACTCTAAACCCTAAACCGTTAACCTCTAAACCCTAAACCCTATACCCTAAACCCTATATCCGAAACCCTATAAAGGACTTTTCCTTGACAGAGGGTTCGCTGCTTTTCGGGTTTGGAATCGTTGCTAGGGCCCCCAGAAAGCACATAAGCAACAAATTAGGATAGGGATATCCCATATAAATCCCTTTATAATGAAGCCCGATAAGGTAGGGATATCCCTGTAAAATGCTTATGCTTATGTCCTTTTTGGGTTCCTAAGTTGCAGGAGTCGTTGGATAAGAACTTTAAACACGGGTTTAGGGGTTTGGGTGCTTAGGGTCTATCGGTTTAGGGGTTTAGGGTTAAAGGGCTTAGGGGTGTAGGGGTTTAGGGTTTAAGGGTTTAGGGCTTTAGGGTTTATCAGGGCTCTTCGGCCATGGTTTTCAGAGGCCACCCTCGAGGCTCCAGCAAGGCATTACAGGGGTTTAGGCTTTAGGCTTTAGGTATTTTTCTCGGCTGCTTCCATGTCTTCCAGGCCCCTTCGCTGGAGCTGCAGGTTCTCCACAGAAGGATGCGGGTAGATGAAGCATCGGTCGTAGAAAACATCTCATGGGTCTCATCCCACTCTAAGGCTTCATGTGCAGAGATAGAATATGCTTAGGTCTTAAAATATTGCCTATGCCTAAGTAAACCTTACTATTTGGATTCTCGGACCCTGTGGGATTGTCATTTGCTCCATTTTGTTTTCGACGGTATCTCTTTCGGGCGGAGTGAGGGGCTTGATGCTGTAACGCTGTAAATACATTCGGGAGCCCTCAGTAATACATGTAATTCAGGCACCTGCAGTGACGCTTACCTTCCGGCATGCCTAAACCCTGCACCCTAAAACCTAAGCTACACCTTAAGTCCTAACCCCTAAAGCCTAAAGCCTAAACCCAAACCCTTTACCTGATAACCCAAAGACCAGAAGCCGCGACTGTAGAGATAATTACACATAGGAGCCGCAAGGCCATATGAATGATACTTATTCAGACACCGGTATTAAAACCTAACTCCCTAAACCCCATAAGCACGAGTTAACATAGCAAATGGAATACAAGAAGGTACGATCCAAAATCTAAATCTTGAGCGCAAAATGAAATCTAAACCCTAAATCCTTAACACTTTCACTCGTTAATGGAATCTGCAACCGCAGGGCGTGGGTCAGCAGGAAGTCCACGTCATGAGCCCCACATCGACCAGGAGCAGAATCGAGGGAACGCCGGTGGACTTCCTGGCAGAAGGATTACTGGGGTATACATATTGGGTTTTAGAGATTGCAAATGTATACCTTGTATATAAGACCCTAAGGGTCCAAATACCCAAATAGTAGGGTTTCCAGGTCCGAAAACCATTCAGAGTATGGATTTGGGGACCTAAAAACCTTACTATTTGCGTACTCGGACCCTCTGGGAGATACATTAGATTGGAGCGTGCTTTAAAGGGTTAGTATAGGGTGTATCCTAGCACTCACGTTTCTTGTGTTCATGTCTTGTACGGAGTTCGTTTTGAAGGGCCTTTATAGTGAACCCCAGAAAGTTGGAACATGGATTTAGGATGATTAGTGCTGCGACTCCCTATGCTTTACCTTAAGGGGATGAGGATAGTGATGTTCCAAGTTTCTGGCTTCTACTGTATCATGAGGATACGACTACTTATGGCTTCCATTTCATGTTCGGGAGCTCCATGAAAGTCCCATGTTCTGCCTGAACCTCGTGGGCTTGAGTTTAGGGTTTTAAACCCTAAACCCTAAACCCTAAACCCAAAACCCTAAACCCTAAACCCTAAACCCTAAACCCTAAACCCTAAACCCTAAACCGTTAGGGTTTTGTACCGATACCGTAGGAGGCCGAGGCCGGCCACTGCAGATGCGCTGATGCGATGGGCGTGCCTATCTGGCGCCTGGATTCCGAACGGCCGGCTTTCAATGCAACAAACGGTTTAGGGTTTAGGGTTTAGGGTTTAGGGTTTAGGGTTACCCCAAAAAACACTGCTTTATTTCTGAAGGTCTCTTTCTTTACTCTAGCAGTCGCATAACGTGTGTTCGTGCCCTGCCTTTGTGCGGCCAGTGTTTGGTTTCGCTGCATAAACGTGGCTAGACTGGGCAACCAAACCAAAGCAATGAAAAGGCCCTCGAACCCAGGATTTGTGGCACGCCTTTAAACCTTGGGTCCTGGTTGAAGAGCTCGGCGTAATGCTTGGCAAAGGTCTGGTGGATCACATCCATCTCGCACTCCCGCCTGCGACCCCTAAACTTCAAAAACCCTGAATGCTAAAGCGGAAAACGTAAACCTGAACCCTGAAACATGAAACCTAAGCCTTAAACCCTAAGCACTGAACCCCAAACCTTAAAAACCTGCAATCCTAAACCGTCTCACACGGTGGATTTTGGGCTTCAGAAGCTTGGCTAGCGCTTCGCCGTCAAGGGGCTTGAACACAACATTTGTAGATTCTTGCACGGGCAAATGGGGTTCAGGGGTCAGGGTGTTATATGAAACTGAAGCATTATTATGATGCCGTCGCAGCTAATCACGGGTTCCCGGAATCTGGAAATCCAGCACCTGAATCCTAAACTGGAAAATCCCTAAACCACGAACCGCCCGACATTTCAAACCTAAGCCCTATAAAACCCTCGACGCCAGTTTTCCTGTTTGGCTACCTTTCCTTAGCCCAAAACGCTTTAACCGAATATTCTAAACACTCATCCAAGCAAAACTGGCATGTAGAAACTAAACCCTCCACCTTCCATAAGCACCAAACACTTTAAAGCCTGGACCCAAACCTTGTAAGCGCAGATTAGAGAACTCCTTGGTGCCCCTTGGAAGGCTTTGTTCCAAACCTGGCCTAGTTCACTCGTAAACTCGACACCCTAAACCCTGAAGCCCAAAACCCTAAACCACCTGTGCATGATCTTTCGATGGTGGTCTGCGATGGACCGCTTAGCCACCCATAAGGTGCGATGGCCACTGCCTGGGTGTACACTGCTTCGGCGTTTAGGGCTTTGGGGTTCAGGGTGCTTTGGGATCTTGCAAGAGCTACCCTAAACTTTAGGGGGGTTTAGGGTTTAGGGTTTAGGGTTTAGGGTTTAAAGGGTCCAAATGCCCAAATAGTAGGGTTTCAATGTCCAAAAACCATTCAGAGTATGGGTTTTGGGACTTAAAACCTTACTATTTGGATACCAGGACCCTCTGGGTACCAGTTATTTGGGTTTAGAGCTCAGGGACTGGAGGGCTTGAGTCAGAGTCGGGGGTTTGGGTAACAGAAGGTTGGCGTTCGGCCACGGTTTAGGGTTTAGGGGCTTGATTAGGGTTTAGG